TGTGGTGGAAAAAAAAATTTTTGGGGGGGGGGGGGGGAAATTTTTTTTTTAGGGGGTAGAAGGGTAAGAGTTTGGGGGTTTAAGGGGGGTAAAAAAATGGGGGGGGGGGGTAATTTTTTTAAGAAAATAAAAAATATTGTTGTAGTGAAATATGGGAAAAAAAAAAAAGGGGGGGGGGGGGTGTTGAAGGTAATGGGGTTTTAAAAAATTTAAAAAAAAAAAAAGGGGTTTGTTTAGGGGGAGAAGGGGTAGTGTTTTGGCCCCGCGTTAGGAGTTGTAAAAGATGGGGGTTTTTGTGCCTGAGGGGCGGAAAAAAGGGGGGGGGGGGGGGGGGGGGGGGCGAGAGGATGGCGTAGGTGGATGGACACAACGCCCTTCCTTTCGGTTCGGTATTTTTCTCGCGTGGGAAAGAGCTTGCTGCGGGTCGTCGTTTCTCGATGGGGAATATCATAGTGGGTCTGGTTTGTCTCATTTTTCTCGTACCTCTTGCTGAGATCGCACTTCTTGGGCCATCTCGGTAGGTCGGTCGGTGTATGTGCGGTGTTGGCGATTGCCATGATGTGCAGCAGTACAAGACGTCATTTACTTCTTCTCGAATTCTCGTCTTCGTTGAAGGTCATGCGCAGAAACAGTCCATTCCATGCGATACACTTCCAAGGGTTGTTGAGTTGTTTACGGTCCCTTTTCACATCAAGTCATGATCATGATCCACAGAGAGAGAGAGAGTTGCTTCACCCGTGCTTTAAGTTTGGCGGAATCTTGGTTGCTTGGCCGTCTCTTGATTTATTTTTGGATGTGTGTGAGATCCTAGTCCGCTTGCTTTCGTTGGTTGCAGGCTGCGACAGGTTGTCGTTGTATGTATGCGTGTGTATTGTTGTCGGCAGATCTTCCACAAGGCCACTCTGCGGATGGTCTGTTTGCTCCAAGGTAACCAGCCAGCAGCAACAGGGTGCGGGAGTTGGGGTGGTCTCAGTCCGGAAGTAGGCGAGAGGGGGGAATTGGACATACATGTGGAACTCTTTGTTTGGAGCAGAGGAGTTCAGATTCGTCGCCCCCCTCCCTCGTCTTGGTTGCCATCCGTGTGCCCCCCGATTGTCGGCGGCATCTTGCTTGCCGCTTTGGTATCCGTCTCTTTTCTCGCTTGTTTGGTTCGTGCAGGGTGCAGGGTTGCTGTGGGAGGGAGGACCCTTCGAATCGAATCAATGTTGGAGTCGTAAGGAGAAACGAATGAGTAAGTACGGAGGGCACCGAGGGTGGACGTGGACTACTTGTGTCATCGTCTTTATTATTCGTTTTTTCTCTTTTTACCATTTTCTTGTGACTGACTTGCTTGGTCGTTGTTCTTGGCCGTTCTTGACGCGTGCTACAACTCTTGGCTGTACCCGGCATCACCGTCTCGTTTGAACGGCATGGGATGTGGATTTTTTTTTTGACGAACGAACACACTGCAGGTACATGCATGCATGTGTATGATGGGTGAAAAAACTGCATAGAAGGTTGGGTGTTTTACGTCCCTGTACAGTAGTAGTTATTATAGTTGCACTTCCTCGGGAGAGACGGCATCTTACTTTACGTCAACACTAACAACGAATGAAAATCAGAGACCATCTCTCTCATCCAACATACGAGTAAGAATGAATGAGATTCAGACGCAAAATAACTCATCCAACAAGTCTATCGCAGTGCGAAGACCGGTGAAATTTTCCGTCAAATATGCATTAGACGCGAATCAACAGTCATTTTGCATGGGAGAGGCATCAATATGTATATGCACGATGCGATACTGAATATTTTGACACCCTGCCTGGCTGTCGTGGCCGCAGGAAGACAAGAAGACCAATGGAGTCATCGATTGATTGAATGAGTGAATGGAAATGAGAGGACGGTTATCGACCGACAGAATTCCCGGCCAAAGCAAGCGAGAAAATTCTTCTATCTTCGGCACGCTCTAAGAAGACATGATGGACACGACGTCAAATTGAGGTGCAGGCCCTTTTTCTTATTTGGTCACCACCGTCCGTCGAGCATAATATAGATAGGTCATTCATTATATAGAGTTTAGTGTAGTTTCCACGGCTGAGGTAGGTCGGTGTGTTCCTTGTCGATTTTTCTTCTTTATCGCCAAGTTGTTTGTTTCTTCATCGAGGGCGCTAATTTTTGTACTCGAGGTGCCCACGGTTAGTTAGTTCCGGGGGCGGCTCCGGGTGAACGTAGATGAAACGGGGTTTGTTTCTTTGCGTCCGCGGGCACACTCCTCTGCTGTGTTTGAGCGAGGTAGGGTCGCCTCTTCGAGAACCTACTACTGTAGTAGCCTCGTGTCTCGCTCAGCACTTGGTAGTACATCGAAAACCCGGCGTTGTTTTGTTGTACTTTTTTCCGCCGAAAATAAAAGCGTACCGGGAAGTAGGAGTCAAAACTCTCACAAGAAGCAACCTGACGTGTGTCTTGGGAGCGCGTCGGTCGCAGTAACCAGGGAGGGTACCTGGCGTGGTAACCAACCTTATGCATACGGGATTACGTGGGCGCCCGTCCTTGTCTATTTGAGAATGTGACACGGTCGTAGGGCGCCAGTTGGTTCTCGTGTGGTTTCTCCAACAGCAGCGCGTTTGTTTGAGACATTTGGCACCACAGGGGCCACACAGGCAAATAAATGCTTTGCGAGATGCCTTCTTGTGCCAAGTCGATGGGCGACTCGGAAGAAATGCCCGTCCACTACTGCCGCCGGCACACCTCATTCGGTGAAAAAAGAAGAGCCGCATGGAGCGTTGACGGATGGATGCAGAAACCCGCCGCGCGAAAAAAAGCAGTTCTGTTCAACTTATCATTCGATTTCTAACAATGCTCGTTCCAAGCCACAGCGAAGACAAGAAATAGTAGAAGCGGATGATCACACCCAAAGCTGCGACATCGTTTGCTGCCTCCAGGATTCTCGAACGAATCAACACCACACTACCAGTCACTACTCACACTTACTATACGCGCAAACGCCCAGTACTCTTCCTGACTGTCTTGCAGAGCACCGAGCGCACCTTTGCAGTACAAGGCGTCTTAAGGACGCAAAACCGAACACATCGAGGGGGACAAAGTGCATGGGTGCACGGAACCGATATGTTCAAAAGCCCAGCCACAAAGACTAGCAATACTGACGTACTTAACCGAGCACTGTTGTACCGTCCTGCATTAACCACGAAACACATCCTCTACGAAATGCCTCACGGCGGACGGGGGTGCAACAGCCGAACGCGATCCACACCTCTACTACAAAATTTGGCTGCCAAGGCCCGAGACATTTAGACTATTCACCCTCCTCTCCAGGACGAGCTGAACAGAAACGAAGGGGAAACACACAACATCCATGTTGCATAACCAATTACAAGGTGTATCGCAAAACTATACTACATGCTACTGTTATCACAAGGCCTAGTTCCCAACCACAAGCCGGAAATGCCTACGAGCAAATTTCAATTTCAACCCACCCTTTTTAAGGTGAGATGAGGGTCTGGTATATCGCCCAATCTCTAGCTGGGAAAAACAGTTGAGGTATCGTCGCGTAAAATGAGTGGTCCCACGAAATCGCCGCACAAAGACGGACGAGATACGCAAAAAGTGGTACAAGACTGCCAAGGCCCACCAAAAAAAAATATTACAGTGTCCGTGTGCCCCACTCAAACCTTATTGCCGCACAGCGATCCAGCAACAACAGAAAAACAAAAAAACGAAAGTAAAATGCAGACACGACTCGCCAAACAACAAGAGTTCCGGTGGTCTTGCCTTCAAAATCAACACCCATAAACCAACCAACAGCATAAACAAATGATACAACATGTCGCGACCAACGGCCAACGACCACGACAATTACAAGACATTGCACAACGTTCAGCAACTGTCAAGAATGAAAAATAAATGTACACCGCCCAGGGAGCGGTTTGTCCAATGCACACATCCTTCGGAGTACCCAACGGTGTAAACATGTAGTGTGGTCTCCAGAAAAAGGGACCCCTTTCCCTTACGACAGAACTAGGCGAGTCAACAACATGCGTTGTTGGGTCATTCTAGGCCTAGCTCCTCAGCAGACAGGCTCGTAGCCGGAGTCTGACTCCCCGTCGAAGCACGAATCGTTGGTGACCTTGAGCTCGAAGTCCCCTTCGTCGAGCCCGGTGTTGCCCTGCATGACGCTGTTCATGGCATCGTCGAACCGCACCACCAGGCCATCGGCATCGCCAACCTCGAAGACGTTGTCGAGGAACTGGGTGCCGTCGGCCTCCTTGATCTTGATCGTCTCCTCGGCGCCGGAGAAGGAGTTCTGTGAGAATACGTTGTTCTGGGACCGCCCGGAAGAAACAACGTCCGGCTCGTCTGACCCAAGGTACGTGTAGGCGTTGTACCTGAAAGAGGCGGAGAGAGGGGGGAGGGGTCAGTAAACTAACGTGGTTTTTCAGAATCAGAATACGGGCCAGAATGCGTCCCTCGTTGCCGCCGAACTCATCACACCGATGCGGTCATTTTGACTGTCGGGCTATCCCCTCCGCTATGGACACACCCATCATCCTGCAGAAGTTCAATCTTTCATAAACGAAGACAACAAGAGGAGGGGGGACTTAGCGCCCTCTTGGCTCCTTGGCGTAAGAAAAGACTCACTTGCTGTTGTTGCTGATGATGTTCTCGGAGAAGACGTTGTCCGCGCAGCCCACGCTCATCCGCACGCCGTACTTGTTGTTCTCGAACGTGTTCTCGGACACATCGGCGTTGAACGACTCGAGCATCGCCAACCCCGCGTCGCCGTTGTCGTGCACGTAGTTCCCTGAGAGCAATAGAAAAAAACAACGGGGGTCAGATTTTCGTATACAGTTCAAAGGAGGCGAAGGGGGGGGTGGAGGCAGGCCAAGCATCTATGTCGGTAAAACAGTAGCATCGAAAGGACAGGAGTACGCGCGTAGGAAACGGCCAACGGCAGGGCCCACACCAGCACACCCGAGCACCGCCAAGAATAAAGCAATACTACTCACCCTTGACGATGGCGTCGTCACTGCTGCGGTGCAGGAAGATGCCCGCAGAAGTCTCGGCACCGCCATACACTTCGTTGCCCTGGATAGACACGCCGTTGCAGCGCTTGGAGGCGATGATACCTGGATTGCCGAAGTCATCAAAGAAGGGGGAAGTGTCGCAAGAGGGGGAGGTAGGTGTGAGATAAAGGGGAACCCGAAGGCTCATTTCCCGATGACATCAAGAAACCCATAGCAGCGACAACAGGGAAGAAAAATATACCATCTCAAATCACACATGAAAGCCACCATGTCCGTTCGCCGTGTGCTATGGCATCCAATATATAGGAGGCACACAAAGTGGCGAGCCCAACTTAATAGAGGTAGGTGGGATGGAAGCGGATTAGTTTGTCTTGGTCTCACCGTGGTAGCCGTTGTTGTACACCTCGTTGTCGTGGATGGTGAGGAAGTCGCTGTCGTCGTGGGGGTCGAAGCCTGGCCGGGACCAGCATAGCAGAAGCAGGGGTTACAGCGGGACAAAAACAAATGAGACATGGCGAGGTGGGCGCAAAGGCGTACTACAGGCAGCAGTATCGCAAAAACTGCAACACGTTTGTCGCGAGCGTCCGACCAGTTTTCAGGCTATTTGTCAACAGCTTACCGTATCCGGAGTTGTCGTGCATCTTATTCCTCCTCCAGTCTCCTTGCTGGTGGCCTGTCAGACGGTGTGACGGGACAGGGGAAGGACGTGAATGAGTTGTAGACTACTGTTGACCCCCGCAAGATACAAGCAGTGAACTTTATAATGTTTTGATATTGCGATCAGACCGCGAAAAATGCTGGTGCTAGCGTCACCCATTCGAGCGATTTCCAAAAAAAAGGGAGGGAATCTTACCGTAAGTGTAGAGGCCGAAGCGCAAGTGGTGGATGTCGCTGTCGTACATGTTTCCGTACACATTCACGTCGTCGAAGATCTCCGGGTTAGACTTATCCTTGCAAAACCCGCGAACCTGGGAGGGACATTCATCGGCGTTGCAACAATCAAGGAACAGCAGTGTTTGGCATCAAGGAACAGCAGTGTTTGGCATCGTTGCTGTAGACGGAAGTATGGCCCAAACGATATTGGCTGAAAGCAAAAACATGCGTTTCATTCCTGTAGTTCAGTACAGTAGCAACAATAAATACTCTTCATGGTCTGCCTCCAATCTCCAACCCACAATGATGTGCAAGCCGACTCGGGACCCGCCAAGTGATTTTCCATTTCCAAGTGATTTCCCATTTCCCGTCGCCTAAAATTCATCTATCAGACACAACAACCAATATTGCTTACCTTCCACGTGAGCCCGTAGCTCTCGCTGTCCTGGAACCCCAGGTAGCCGATCTCGCTGTTCTCGATATCCATGCGGGCCTCCCCCATGGTGTTCTTGGCGTTACCCTCGCAAGTCTCGTCCTCGTCGGTGACGATCTCCGAGACGGCGCTGATGTATGACCGGCCGTCGGTTTCATCTTCGTCCGGCGAGTTGGTGCTCGTGTCCCACGAGAATACCTAAGTACATGGGTTGGTTGAATAGATGGCAATGGACCGGACCAGAGGAAGCGAAATTGGAAAAGGTTATCGACTGGTGTGGATCCTGGATTGGTGGGCGATACAAACAGGTGCGATTGCCGGTACTTTTTCCGCAGGGTAAGGGGAACAGCAGCAGCAAATAAACGGGGAAGAACGCCGGGCCGCACACGGCAAACAAGGCTTGGGTTTGGGGAGGAGGCTTTCCCGCGGGCAAGAAACCACGTGGAAGCGCATATTGCTTGCTGCGCCCTGCTTGCTTACCTTGGTGCCCACGAAGTCCAGGCTGCCACCGTGTGCTCTGAGGTTGATGTAGGTCTCGCTTGTGCTCAGCAACCTGAGTTCGTCGGCATCTCCCCCCTCGTCCGTCCCGTACACCTGTTCGCCGGTGGAAGAAGCGATGATTCAAAACAAACCAGACTATAATTAGAACGGCGGGCGAATAATTCTTCTATGAAATGCTACCGCAATGACTTAAGGAATAATAAAAACACACACAGAAAGACTACCCATTCGAGATATACCCACAAAAGAACTACAATAGATGCGAGATCAAAAATTCATAAAACAATTTAACATCTGAAGCGACAAAGTCGTTGCATCCAAACTGAGGCAAATGCATCGGTTCATCACCCGCAGACTGAACCAGAAACGGCGAAGCCAAGAGCCAGAGCAGGGCAACAACCACCTCGACTGGTGCTAAACAAAACGCGTTGGACAGTCAATATATTTTTATCCCCCACGTAACCCAAAAGACGGCTAGACTATATGAATTCTTGACATGACGGAACTTTCGGATAACTTTTTTTTTTATCGTTGGAATGATGAAACAAACACGCTAGATTCGACGACACCAACCTTGAGCGTGATGCCGTCTTCCACGTACAGCTCCTCCGTGAGGAGCCACGTGCCAGTCTCGGTCTCGCTCACGTCGCCAGAGTCCGGGTCCACCGCGTACAGCGGCGCCTTGCCGGCCCGACTCTCCCAGATCTGCCCGAGGGTAGCGCAGCCTCCGCGGGTCTCGCCGTCTGCCGACTCGAGGTACAGGCGCTTCGTGGTGCCGGCGTACCGGATCGAGACCTCGATGTCGGAGTCGCAGTCGGGCTTGGAGATGGGGTCGTTGGGGGAAGCGGTGTCAGCTGCTGCCGCGGGCGTGGTGGAGGCGAGAAGGCCGAGAAGCGCAAGGCCGAAGGAGGATGTCGCGCTTTTTCTTCGGAACTCCATTTTGTAGTTGAGGGTGCTGCTGCTGCTGCTGCTGCTGCTGTACAGGGGTGTGTCGAGACTGGAGTGCAAGGTAGCAGCAGGACGTGGGGGGGGGGCTGTGGTGTTACACAGCAGGAGCAGGAGGTCGTCGCCTTTCCTTCGTAATTGACAACCGTTCCAAACTGTTCCATCCAGCATACAGAATTGGTCTGCATGTGCACAGGGGGAGTCTGGTGGGTGCCACACCTCGATACCGACAGTGAGATAGAAGATGTAAGACAGAAGCGAAAAACTTGCGCTGTCCATTGCCGACAGCTCTTCACGCCCCATGCATCATCACTGGGCAGCATTAACTACAAGCAAACATCGCGGTGCCGTGGCAGCAACTGCTGTGAGGCCAGTTGCTCCATGTAATCTTCACCGTTGTTGCTTGCGATCCGATCTCAAACCTGCTGTTCGCTTGATACGAGAACCGGCGGACCGATTCTTCATCGTTGGCTAAAAACCAACCACCGACGCTCTGTTACGTGTTTGGCAGGCGTAGGCAAGAGAGATGATGTGCTTCCCCACACAACAAAGCGTCGGCGCGCCCGCCCCATTCGTGCTGGGACCTCTGATGCTATCTATCGTCCAACAGCAACCTATCCTCGCACAGCACTCCAGCAATAACAAAGCTTCCCGCCAAACCGCGTTCAAAAGAAGAACTTATAACGAGAGACCGAGATCCAAGACGGTGGTCGCGAACGAGCAGAGCAGCTCAGCCGGGCACCACACACTCACCAAGTAGAGCACGAGAGAACTAGTGCGAAGAGAGGAGCGCAGTTGAAGAATTCACGCAGAGGATCGGGGCCCAAGTCTTTCCAGCAAAAGGTGGGGTGGTTGAGTGTATCAGTGTGACGGTGTGGGGTGAGAGGAATGAGAGGCCAGGGGCCAGAAAGCGGCGGGTCTGGCAACATCGAATTTCTAGAAGAATAAAAAAAAGATCTTGGGAACGTGTTCAGAAAACTCTATGCGGGTCTTCGGGCCGTTGCCCCACCCAAGATACCCCGATAGCTTCTCTTCCGACAGGGCGTCTACAGCGCTGACTGAAAGCATCTTCGACGATGCCTCGCGCTCGACGCCACTTAAGAAAATCTTTCTGGGGGGCGACTGACGTCCCTCCTCAGACCTCGTGCATGTTCCGCGATATGATCGGGCAAATCTACGTGCCAACAGTAGCTATCGGTCGATCAACCTTGCGAAATCGGTCTGTGGCACTACTTCCGAATATATTCGGTGGTCCGTCCATTCTACGTCTCAACGGATGACGACAGCGGAGATGTCGTAGATTCCGAGATGTGAGAGGAGACGTGAAGCGACCCAAAATTTTTTAGCCTGCTGTCACATGGGATTGGCGAACACACGGAGAGATGGAGACACGACGCCCCTTGAGTATCCATGTGCCGGACTAAAGAGGTGGTCCATCAGGACAGGAAAGCGGTGATGGCGTAGTGCTGCAGAAACATGGTCAGGCTGGAGGCTGGCCGGCGGCGGAGACGCCGCGAGGTATGTATGTATGTATATCCACCTGGTGAATATCCATGGATCCTTCCGAGAACACATTTGTCGCCCTGCGCGCAACCGCCCGAACGCTTCCCATCTCCACATCGTCCAAAATGCGAGACCACAACTTCCGGGAAACACCGCTGCTGCGAGATTGCGCGACGTCCCACAGCCTGCTGCGCACAAGGTGCCCACTACATCTCCCACCCCACTACATCTCCCACCCCCCAACACACAACACTCGGCTACCCATCTCAAGCCTCACCGTTCTCAAGGCTCGCACACATTGTTCTACAGCAGTACAGCAGCACAGAGGCGCTTTCCTGGGGCCTGGTGAGTGCGGCATGACTCGGCATGTTTTACTTGTTGCGTCCTGTGCCGAGGAGGAGGCTCGTGTACTGTGTGGCCAACCGTAGTATAGTTGGTCTTGTGATGCTCAAGTCAGCTGAACTTGAACGTTCAGCGCCGGGCGGTAGGCGGTGCCTTTGGTTGACAATGAAAGCGCCGTTATTGCCGCCATTCATCCGCCGCGGACGTGGCTCCTAACATGTAGGGTCTGGCCTATTAGACAATGGCATGAACAGCAGTATTTTTAGCGTGTTGAGACCATGTCTGCACATCAGAGCGTGTTTTTTGGAACAGTTGACCAGTGCACCAAAGGACCAACAGCATCATCAAGAAGGCTTTACTTCAGCGGTAGATTGTCGCTACTCCAATTCTCTAGCGTTCTCCACCACCAGCTGTAGCCCCGACCACGGCTTGCAACACCGTCGAACCTTGAACAATTATTTACACTGTTGCTGTGACAACGGTTTGCTCCCATCTCCCCGCGTCCAAACGAGCTGCAACAGCACTAAACGCCGTTTTACCCTACGCCCATCCCACTCTCTCTGAAACTCCTACCTCGACACAGGCGAAACGGAATCTCCTTGTACCCAAGAAGAGCGCTGCTTGGACCAACAAAACTTTCCGGTTTCCTCGCCACGTTCGGGAAACAACAGCTTTTTTCACGTGGCCGACGCATCATGGAGCTCCGACGAAGCGCAGCCTTAGCCCTGGTCGGCCTTCTCGCCGCCACCAGCACCGCGGCAGCGGCGGACACCCCTTCCCCCAACGAGCCCATCCCCAAGCCCGACTGCGACTCCGACATCGCGGTCTCGATCCGCTACGCAGAGTCCACGGCGCGCCTGTATCTCGAGTCGGCAGACAACGGCACCACCCGCGGCGGCTGCGTGACCCTTGGGCAGATCTGGGAGAGTCGGGCCGGCAAGGGGCCGCTGTACGCGGTAGACCCTGACTCGGGGAACGTGAGCACTAGCGCGACCGGCACGTGGCTTCTCACGGAGGAGCTGTACGTGGAGGACGGCATCACGCTCGAGGTTCGGATTGAGACTGATGAGCAATGTTGACAAACATGGTAGATTTTCATGTTTGGCGGCATGTTGTGATGGGTCCAACGCGATTCTATTACTTCTATGTAGGACGACTCGCTCTGGTGCCTTTTTGCCATATTTGTACAGCCGACGGATCGTTAGCCTACATGAAGGTTTGTCGCATTTCGGGTACAGATCGGGGGGGCGCATCGTCGACCACCTCTAGGCGAGCTGCTGTTGAACCTTCTTCTACTGCTGTAGAACGTATCGCGTAGGCACACAATCCCAGCACACGCAACGTGTGTGCTGGTGTCAACAAGGACCTCGTGAGGGCTGGAAAGGGGCGATGCCTGTCTGATCCCAACGTCTCGATATTGCTTTGACGCCTGTTGCTCCCGTCTGAACAGGTATACGGGTCGGAGGCCGGAGGAGACGCTGACGAACTCCGACTGCTGAGCACTAACGAAACGTTCATCAACCTCCGAGCGCATGGCGGGAGCCTGGACTTCGTCAGCACCAAGGTAGACAAGAAGCGACAGCAATCAGCCCGCGCGGGGCGTTGTCGCCCTCTGTTGCTCATTTTTCGTGGAAGCTGATTGGTCCACTCGGGGTGCCTTTTGCGTCACGGTCAGGGTTTCCCAGAACCGTTCCTAGAACCGTTTCGTTGTTTTCCGTCGTACATTCGACCGTCTGTGTTCCTCGCGCTCTCTGCTGGTGCTGCCCGTTCCTCCTCTTCTTTCACCGCGCTACGCTCCCATCGTACCCCAACGTTTCATCTGTTTCGCAAATTATCACACTTTTCCAACGCTCGCTCCCCGCTCCGCCTCTTGCCCAACGCTGCTGAACTGAAGGTCTTCTCGTGGGACACGAGCACCAACTCGCCGGACGAAGACGAAACCGACGGCCGGTCGTACATCAGCGCCATCTCGGAGATCATCACCGACGAGGACGAGACTTGCGAGGGTAACGCCAAGAACACCATGGGGGAGGCCCGCATGGACATCGAGAGCAGCGAGATCGGCTACCTTGGGTACTGGGACAGCGAGAGCTATGGCCTCACTTGGAAGGTGCATACATGTAGTGATTCGGTTTGTGTCGTTTTTGATTCTACATGGTGCGGTTGGTTTTGATTGTCGTGTCCTATGTCGGCGAACGATGTATTCTGGTAGGTACGTACGAGGACACGTGTTTGGGAGCTGGCGACGGGTGTGAAGAATTTTCAACCAAGCCGTGTGAACAAACACGTCGTGCGTCCTTCGCGGCGCGTACCAGTGGAATCGAGTGGCTGTCTGCGGTGGAACACTTTTAACCTCAGTTGTTGGTTGGTTGCACTGCGAATGAAACGCCCCAGGTTCGCGGGTTCTGCGAGGACAAGTCTAACCCGGAGGTGTTCGACGACGTGAACGTGTACGGCAACGTGTACGACAGCGACATCCACCACATGAACTTCGGCCTCTACACTTACGGTAAGCTTCGGGACGTTGATTCGGTTTTCGAGTTCTCGTGGTTGGCTGCTGCCGACAGCGTATCCGCGAGTTTTCGGTGCAGTGGTTGTGTCGTGCGTCAATATTCCTCAGCAACTACTGTAGTCATGACTTCTTCTGTCTTGCAGATCTAGTCTACTCCTGTGACCCCCCACCGATCCACGCCCTTCTCCCTGTCCGTCACGCCACCCGACAGGCCACCAGCAGGGAGATTGGAGGAGGAACAAGATGCACGACAACTCCGGATACGGTAAGCTACTTCTTCTTGGTTGCGTCGAAAGATCTTGTTTCTTCCCTCGTAGTGGCGGCCTTTCGTTCCTATTTCGGTCCGCTGTTAGCTCTGCTGGTGTTAATTACCGAGTAGTTGGTCGCCCGAAAGCAGGGCGGTATCTCTCATGACAGTAAGTGTTGAAGGTTTTGCGATACTGTACCCCCTTACACCCACGTCATCATCTCTCATTTGTATGTCCCGCTGTAACCCCTGCCTATGCTATGTTGCTACCGGCCAGGCTTCGACCCTCACGACGACAGCGACTTCCTCACCATCCACGACAACGAGGTGTACAACAACGGCTACCACGGTGAGACTACTGTACGATCAAGACGAACAAACCTCTTGCATACCCACCCTCTATTCAGTTGGGCTTGCCACTTTGTGTGCTCCCTATATTAGTGCCGTAGCACACGGCGAACGGACATGGTGGGCGGTCAAGCGTCATTTGAGATGCCATATTTTTCTTCTCTGGTATCGCTGCCATCGATTTGTTGATGCCATCGGGAAATGAATGGTTCGAAGTCCTTGTCTTCTTACACCTACCTCCCCCTCTTGCGACACTTCCCCCTTCTTTGATGACTTCGGCAATCCAGGTATCATCGCCTCCAAGCGCTGCAACGGCGTGTCTATCCAGGGCAACGAAGTGTATGGCGGTGCCGAGACTTCTGCGGGCATCTTCCTGCACCGCAGCAGTGACGACGCCATCGTCAAGGGTGAGTCGTATTGCTTTGTTCTTGGCGGTGCTCGGGTGTGTTACTGTGGGCCCTGCCGTTGGCCGTTCCCTACGCGCGTACTCCTGTCCTTTCGATGCTACTGTTTTACCGACATAGATGCTGGCCTGCCTCCCCCCCTTCGCCTCCTTTGAACTGTATACGAAAATCTGACCCCCGTTGTTTTTTTCTATTGCTCTCAGGGAACTACGTGCACGACAACGGCGACGCCGGGTTGGCGATGCTCGAGTCGTTCAACGCTGATGTGTCCGAGAACACGTTCGAGAACAACAAGTACGGCGTGCGGTTCAGCGTGGGCTGTGCCGACAACGTCTTCTCCAACAACACCATCAGCAACAACGCCGAGTAAGTGTGACGAAGGCAGGGAGAACGATCAAGCGGACAAGGGACAGCAGTACATGTAGTGGGTCTTCTTTTACAACAGGCACAAACCCTCAAGATAGCGTGCTCCAAATGGAATTGATTCGATTGTAGTGGTGGGGCATATGGG